AAGTGCAACAGTGAACTCGAAAAATGATGAATCCTCAACATGTAAGTTTCCAATTAATGCGCTATAAGTTATACAAATTATTTTCCAATTAATGCGCATTAATAAAACACCGGATTTTTTAATGGTGGAAAGTGACGGACTTGGAGAACATTTTCAGGGCGAAAAAACGAAAGCGCTTAAATTAATTTTAAAACTACCCTATGGCATGCTTAATACTACTAATGCTTGGAGACGGCTTGAAATGAAGAAATCTTTAATATATAACAGCAAATGTACAACGTTTCGATTTTTGTCATCAACAGGTCGAAACGTTGTACATTTGCTGTTATGTTAAACTTATATTAAAGTTTTTCTACACTACCCATTTAAGCGTCATCGAATTTGAAATACTTAATACTACATTCATTACTATTGTCCAGGTTTCAGTAAAATATTCGTAGCGGCTTAAAAAACTGTAATCAATAATACTAAGGCTGGAGACACTGTTATAAATATACATATTGTTTATTCTAATGAAACGAAACATTTCCGACTAGTATAATGGCGCTTATGTGGCTTCCCTATTTGTACGATGCTTGTTTGGCTTCGAAGAGCTCATATCGGTAGCAAAAAAATAAGTTAAATTTTAGAGGGTGGATTTTGACTTTCAAGAATCAACTTAAAAATAGTCCCTAAACGTTCACAGGTTTCGATGCTTGAATAGCTTCGAAGAGAAACTTGGCCAATAGCGATTAAAAAACTGATAAAATCTGTCCTTCTCTTTCAAGAATCAACATAAAAATAGTCCTAAGACCTGCGTAGAAATTTTATCAGTAGGTTTGAATAGAATATTCACCGTCATTTTTTTTCTGTATTCTTGTATAACAAGAATAATGTGAATAACAGTAATGGATGAATTTTGCATTTTGTCTAACAATCTGAAAATCAACTTTTTTGCTATTATAAATATTTTAGCAGCCTTAGCCATTGAGTTAGAAGGTATTGAATGTTGTTTCAAGAACAGGTCTGTTTTTAAGCTGGTTTTTGCCTCTATGTTCTATTAAACTTTTCGTAGTTCATGATATGATCTAATTGAATATACTTAATGAAAGAAAATTTCCTTTTTAACGTATTTATATTGAAATATAAATAGATATGTATTTAATTAGGAACTAACAACGATAAATGCTGTTTACACTCGAATACAATTTTGTTTTTACTTAACGAAGCGTTTTTTGTCATTTATTCATAGCAATCAAAGATCGAAAAGATAAATATGATAAAAGCTGGTAAGGGAATTTAACTTCCAAATATTTAGAGTAGAAATTTAAATGTTTGAACTTTAATTTAGCTAACAATTGTCAACGTGCTGACGGTGTTTTACTGTAAATGATATTATTAGCATTTGTTATTTGCAGTGTTACAGAACAGAAATACTGCAAACGATAATAGTGTGCTAATCACAACACATGGTAATTATCTAAGCTATTCAGTTAATACGGAAGCAAAAGTTATTTAAATTCGATGAAAAACATATTCTTTGACACGTATGGCATGTAACAATCCCTAGAAGCCTTCCTTGTGTCAGTTTCTTGGCTTCAAACCACCGCTGCTAACCAACTTTGTGGCCTCACTGTTTTCCAGTTGTTTGTAACAATCCTGGATATTTCGGACTACCAACAGGTGGCTAAAGCTCGTTTTAGATTAGATATTTTTGTGCGCCCTAAGAATGTATACATATATGTAATACAGACACAGAGTAAAACAGAAAACGAAGAAATATGTAGTCTAAATATTTGCAACTAAATAAATACTCACTTATACCTTGCAATAACTTTTTCTTCCTTTTACTGGTTATAAAGCTACTTGTATCTTAAAGTATTAAAGAAAGGAAAATAATGTCACAAGTAGTGTAATCAATGTAAAATTAACTTTGTTGTTTTGTATAACTTTAAACCATTACAGAATGACTATGAGTATGTGCACACAAGTTTCTCTGCAATAAATTGGGAGTTACGTAACGAAGGATGAACAACAAGGCTGTAATAATGGAAGAAGCAGGAAACAATTGAAAGAATGAAAATTAAAAAAAAACATAAGCCTCACAATTTCTCGAAAAGAAACACAAAATGTTTCCTTCAAGAAACTTGACAACTTGACAAGAAGAAGCAGGAAGCAATTGAATGAATGGGAAAAAAAACAAAAAAAAACAATAGGCCTCACAATTTCTCGAAAAGATACACAAAATGTTTCCTTCAAGAAACTTGACTTTGGCTACACAATTTACAGAAAATAAAGTGAATAATAATAATAGACACTATAAACAAACAGAACAAGACTGTCTTTTTCGCAGATTAAAACTAAATTTTACGAACTGTGCGCTAAGAAAATTCACCAATCTGAGAACGATTAATATTCGGTGATTGCTGGGCCAACGATCTCTAAGAGCTAACCTTTCTGGTCAGTGAGACCCAACAAACCAGTTACACCATAAGGACAGTTTGAAATGGCGGTAAATAGAAAAATGTACCATCCCTAAAATATTGGTTTGAAGTAATTAATAGTGAAGTTTCAACAAAAACCAAAGTTTGGAAATATAAATCAATTTTGATAATTTTGCATTTAAGTTATGATCATTAAATTACTGTCTTTCTTTGGTATTTTTGTCATCTGTAGAGAATATTCAAAATAAGCTATTTCAGTGGAACAAAAAAATACCAGAAAAACCTCGAGCCAGGCTTTAAAAAGTTACTAAACTTTATATTTTCAGTTTTCTAAAAGTGAAGAAAGGTTGTGTCTGGTCAAAAGTACAACAGTTTATATATTATTATTTTATTATGTTACACCCTCTACATAAAATAAAAATACATAGCATTTGTCTGCTGATTGTGAAATACTCACTAACGAAATAACAGGGGATATAGGGTACTTACTACCCGCCTCCAAAAGGATAGTTCCAGAGATTGCAAAAAAATATCAGAAGAAATAAAATAATGGAGGTGAATCACTTCAGAAGTTTTGTTTGCAACTTGCATTATATAACAATGTTTCTTTCACATTCTTTTCTCCCCAGCCCTAGTAATTCTCTTTGCGACAGATTCACCTAAAATCAAACGTCGAAACTGTTCATTGGTGTCCTTAGGTAATCTATCCTTCCTTTCCAACTTTAACTACCTTCTTACGACACTGACTATTCTCAATAAATTGAGTAGGTGTTGGAATCTGTTTCCTCTAATTGTTTTATGATTTTTTTTTCTTTTTCGTATTCAAAATCGGATTTAAAACACAGACTGACAACTTATTCGCCCGTTTTGAAAACATCATATAGTAATATTGATGATGCCACTTTAAAATACTCCCAGTGGAAATTATCTGATTATAAAGCGTATATAATTCAGATTGTAATTGAGATACACTGTAATTAAAAAAAAAAGCAATAATAAATCATATTTCGCACACTTTTAAGTAAAGACGTCATTTGAAAAATGTGCAGCAGTGCCATCACATGGTTATAAAATGTTGAAATGAGCGACATTTGTTGGGTGTACCGGTATATATGCAAGAAAAAAAAATGTAAAAGTTTGTAAAGAATCCACTTATTTTTATCGTAAAAGTGGTCGAATTTTTATTCATTTTCAGCCATTTTATTGTTTTTAAACTTTTCAGTGTCAGTGAATTTGTGAATGGAGTTTGAAATAACTATGTTTCCATTGTTACTTTTTTTACGTCTTTTGCTTAATTATACAAACAAAATTTTAAAGGCTTAAAACTGTGACATGATCGGAAGTGAAATGTTCCTTCAATTTATATTTTCTCTTTGAGTATAGAATTATTTTTCAACTTTCTAACTTTCGTGATATAAATTTTGTTCGGAAAAAGTATAAATGGGTGAAATGTTTTATATTCTGCCATCATATATTCATGTTCAGAATTTCATATTTCATTTTTATTCGTGATCTCGCGTTATTTCGCTTGCTTTCAGATCTGACAGTATCGTTTTCATGTTTCGAGATTTATGTGTTTTGTTTTAATGTTAAGTTACACAATGTGCTATCTGCGCTATTTCGTCCACAGCGAGGAATCGAACCTCCGATGTTAGCTTCGTAAGTACTATCCACTGGGAGACGTTTCAATATGTAACATGTATTGTTATTAAACGATTAAAACCCAAAACGAATTTACAAACAATTAATTCCGAATACCATTAAGGCTTTATTAATAATTTGATACAAATAAACCTTGAGTATTGATGGCAAGCTTACCTAAATAATAACCAATATTCTAAAAATATTTGTCGACAGTTACTGCTAATAACAACTATGCAAGCGTTTGAAATACTTGTATATATGTGTGAGGAAAATATATTCGAAAATGAGCACCAAAATCGCTTTTAACTTTCGCGGTAGAAGAACATGGTTCTGTACGTTATTATGTCTTTTGATAAAAAATATGATAAAAAAGTATTGATATATTCATGTTCTAAAGTATAAAAAAGTTCTCTGTTGAAAACATGACATTGTTACCTTCTCTTGCTAGATTTGTGTTAATACTTGATGTACTTTTAGTTTAACTTTCATATTAAAACTTTAAAATATTAAGGCATAATCAAAGTAGTACTACTCAAAAATATTTAGCAACGATTTATAATTAGTTTCGTTGGGCTATTGTATAAAAGGAGTGGCGTACTATTCCACTAACACTTGCTATAGAGTGTTAATAACAGTCAATGTACCTAGAGACGTATTGGTCTCAATTTTTCTCCAAAAGCAATTTTGATAAATGAAAGAATTAAAAACTAAGTCCGATTAATAAGCGAATAGCAGCGGTATATAGAACTGAAGAAACAACAACTTTGACCAGTGATTCTTTTCTTGCTTTTACAAAATTTTCAAATCATCTTACAAAAGCATTTAAACTACTGATTAAAAATGTATTAACTTTTTTTTTACTTATTTGTTAATTTCTTTTCAACACCAAAACGTGAACTGAAAATTTAAAATATGATGTAGACGTCTAATCTATTATTTGATTCGCTACATCTGTCGAATCATCACATGTAAATCAAACAAATAACTTTTTATTTACACCTAATACAGAAAATAAAAACACATGGTGTTTATATGTTGATTCTGCAATATTCACTAATTAATAACGTGGGGATGGGATGGGGTAGTTGCCCCTGACTCCGAAAAGATAGTTCCAGAGATTGTACAAAAATTATCAAAAGAAATAAGATAATAGAGAGGAGTCACTAGTCGGAAGTTTTGTCTGCGTTATCTATAACAACGCTTCTTTCTCGTTACTTGCTCCCCACTACTTGTAGTTCTCGTTGCACGCATTCGGCTAACACCAAACATTAAAGTTGTCTTTTGGTATCTTTCGGTAATCTATACTTCCTCCCCAACGTTAATTTCCTTGTTACGCCACTGTCATTTCTCAGTAAATTGAGTCGTATTGAAATCTGCTTCCTTTATAGTTGCACCATAATATTCATAATTAATGATGTCAGAAAATTAAAACGATGTACAAAAAATAAATATAAAAATAACAATAGCATAGAGCTATCAAAATGCTGTTGTAAAGTTTCATTGGACAGAATTAATGAATTACACCGTTCTATGACTCACAGAAAAAGTCAAACTTCGTAATCCTTTAAAGAAACGTATTGTTTTAATAAAGTTATGCAAAGTTACTTTATTAAAATAAAATAACATTAGTTGTTAGAAAATTATTATTGTAACAACATTGTTCTTACTAACAATAAAATTAACTTAATGTACAATAATAATGCAATAATATCCTGTCAAATGTTATGAATAAAATGTATGTCTTGAAAGTGACCATTAACTTTATATAGATATCTTCTAATAAAAGTCCCCTAATATTTATATTATGTCACAATAATGTGCTCTGGGCATACGATCCGAGCGACTATAAAAAAGACCAAATCAATACAAATATCTAAGAACAAACTTGTGCAGTAAACAAAGAAGTAGATATCGAAAGAAGAAAAATCTCTTTGGTTAGAACTAAATTCCAGGTGATGCATGTAGTTCTAGCTGACGTTTTATTTAGAATCCTGTAAAAGGCATGTCTTTACGAAGGCCACAAGGTCGTCGAAACATCTGACTGTTGTAGCGAAACCATTTATTTACCACTACAAAAAGTATGAATCAATTAAACGTTTCAAATTATTACTCAAACTAGTGTCTTTATAATTATGACTATCAATTATAAAAGAAAATAAACGTTAAGAATGTATACACACTAATGGACATCACAAGTACAAACAACATTATTTATATAAAAGTTAGAAAGACAACCCAAGCAATCAAACAAAAAAAGACAATTTTGAATTTTCCTAATTTATTCAGGTTTAAAAATGAAAAATAATAATAGCACTTTCGCAGTGTTATTCGGCTACTCCTAAGTTTCTTAAATCTGCAAATTAATTACTAGTAAAACCTAGTATTAAGTTTTTATAACTGCATAAAAGTGACATAATTTAAATTTTGTATCTTCAATCAAAACTTAAAAAATTAAAATAATTGACTGGATAAAAATCTAAATACAATAACATAAAACAAGCATTTTTCTAAACGAAATCTCATCTAATTAACAATTGAATCTGTAAATAAAACCTAGGCCATATTCCAATGTCATTTTTAAATAATCAGAATGAGAAATACAAAAAATAGGGTTCTCTTAACTCACCATAAGATTTTGTGTTACAGTTATAAAATAGTTTGAGCAAGGAACACAGTTTTTTTCTAACATCGTATTTGTGTAAATTCCTATGGATTCTAAACTTTTCTGTTTATATAACTGAGAAACTATGAAAAAAAGTCTTCAAGAAAAACTTTTAAATTATCAAAACATATTCAATTTTTGCGTTGGAAAACAGAAGAACATAATTTGCCTTACCCCATTTCGAACCAATGAGAACTGGACATCCACCGTGACGTGTTAATAGATCTGGGTCTCCATTCTTGTACAAGTTCCACCAGAAAACAGCAGCTCCCTAAATGCAACAAAAAGGCGGTTCGGATAAAAGTTTGGTATGTAAGGAAACTACATGAATCATATGATTTTACTACAAGTTTTATGTTATGCATTAAATAGATGGGTAGAAAAGACAAGCTGCACCGAGGCAATCTGAACATTCTCATAACTTTGAAGTACCTTAGCTATTATAAACCCAATTAATCGGTTGTTTAGAACTTTATCCAATGGACTTTTGCATAAGTTTTGGCCAGAAGTATGTTTTCTTATCTGATGAAGTTTGACTTACGGCTAAATATTTTATATTTAAAGTATAAAAACTGCTTCAAACAAAATTTTTGTAAGAGGAAATAAAATTTAAACTATAGAAATTATTAACGAAGTAAAATATGAACCCTTACAGAACATATCAAATATATATATATATATATATATATATATATATATATATATATATATATACTACTATATATATATATATATAATAATAAATAAACTAACTTTAATTTACTTATTACTTTATTTATT